TCGATCGGCAGGCATGCGCAGCTGAGCGCCGATCAATCAATCAATCAATCAATTAATCAATCCGCACCTCCCCCGGTGTCCCCTGGGGGTGTCCCCAGGCCTTGCCCGGTGTCCCCGCGTCCCCTCCCCGGGCATTTCCCGGCGCCTCCCCCCCGTTACCCCCCGGGGCTGCAGCGCCATCCGCAGCTCCCAATCCGCCACCGCCGCCCTGCTCTCGTAACGGGTCCCGAGGCGCCGCCGCAGCCGCCGGTCCCAGCCCGGGGGTCCCGGTCCCGCCTCCGCTTCTGACCCGGGGAGCGACCCCCGGCACTCCGGGCCCGGCACCGCCCGCTCCCAGCGCCGCAGAACCGCCTCCAGAGCGTCCCGGTCCCGGCACTGCGAGAGGGGCTCCCGGTACCGGCCGGTCCTGGTCACCGGGAACCCGGTACCGGCCGCTCCCAGTGTCTCCATACCCGGTACCGGCCGCTCTCAGTGTCTCCATACCCGGTACCGTCCGCTCCCAGTGTCTCCATACCCGGTACCGGCCGCTCCCAACCCCGGTCCCGCCCAGCCCCGTTTCTGACCTTCATGAGCCCGAGCTCAGCGGGCCCGTCCCGGTCCGGGTTGGGCTCCCGGTGCCGCTCCGAGCTGACCCAGCGGCGCAGTCGCCCCGCGGCCCCGCGCAGCAGCTCGGCCGTGCTGGCCCGGAGCCTCCCGGAGCCCAGCAGCTCCAGGATGGCGGCGGCGCGGGCTGGGGACACCGGGGATGTCACCGGGAGGGGACACCGGGAGGGGACACCGGGAGGGGTCACCGGGCCGGTTCCGGTACCTGCGGGTCTGGGCCGGTTCGGGGATTCCAGAGCCAGCAGCAGGAACAGGAGCTGCCGGGCCACGGCCTCGGGGCTCTGCTCGGCCACGAACAGCTGAGGGAAGCACCGGGAGATCTCCGGTAAAACCGGGACGGAGCCAACCGGAACTCGGTACCGAACTCGGTACCGTGACCTCGCCCCCCTCCCCGTCCCGGTTCCGGTCCGTACGGTGATGGATTGCGGAGGTCCCCGGCGGGCCCGAGCCGCCGTCATCAGCAAATGGCGGCCCTCGGCCGCCCCCACCAACAGCACCGAGGCCTCCGCCGCGGGGTCCGGCTCCGGCGGGACTGCGGGGAACGTGAGGGGGGCGCGGTCACCGGGAGCACCGGCAAGGGCGGGAGGGCACCGGGAGGGGCTCCCCGGGGGCCGCGGGCTCACGGTGCAGGCGGAGATCGATGGCCGGGGACAGCCCCCACCAGCACACGGTGCCCGCGGCCTCCTCCAGCTCGGCCGCCATGGCGGAGCCCTCACGGAGCGCCGGTAACCGCCGGTGACGGGCGGCGGCCAATCAGGAGAGAGAACGGCGCCGGTGAGAGGCGCGCGGACCAATCAGGAGCGAGAAAGGCGGCGGGAAAGAGCAGCGGGCCAATCAAAAGGGAGGGCAGTGCGGAGCCCCGCCCCCAGCGACGCGGTTGCCATGGCGCTAACACCACGCCTCATTAGCATAACCACGCCTCCAATTTACATAACCACACCCCAATATTTACATAACCACGCCTCCCGGCGCTGCTGTCCGTGCCTCCAGTGCTGAATTTGTGGAATTTTGGGCAATTTTTAATTTTTTTTTTTTTTATTTTTTGGGGGCGTTTTGGGGTCACCGGTCCATGGCGGATTCGTCGGGGGGGGTCTCGAAGCAGAGCTGCAGGAGCTGCTCGCAGAATTCCAGCTCCTCCTGGGGGGGGGGGAAGGTCGGTCAGCCCCAAAATCCACCCCAAAAACCTCGAGGGTTTGTAAACCCAAATTTCCCCCAAAATCCCCGGAATTTCTCCCCACCCAAAATCCCTTTTCCAGAACATTTTCCCCCCAATTTTTTATTTTTTTTCCCCGGATTTTGGGGTTTTTTTTCCCCCCACATTTTTTACTTTTTTCCCCCAAATTTTTGCACTTTTTCCCCGGATTTTTTACTTTTTTCCTCCGGAATTTTTACTTTTTTTTCCCCCCAAATTCTTGCATTTTTCTCCCCCAAATTTTTGCATTTTTTTCCCCGGATTTGGGGGTTTTTTTCCTCCAGATTTTTGACTTTTCTCCCCCCAAATCTTTGCGTTTTTTCCCCCAGATTTTGACTATTTTCTCCCCAGATTTTTTGACTTTTTTTCCCCCAAATTTTTGTGGTTTTTCCCCGGATTTGGGTTTTTTTTCCCCCAGATTTTTGCCTTTTTTTCCCCAAATTTTTGCATTTTCTCCCCATATTTTTGACTTTTCCCCCCGGATTTTTTTTCTTTTCCCCCCGGATTTTTTTCTCCCCGCCCTCCCCATATTTTATATTTTAATTTTTTTCCCGAATCTCACCCGGAACCG